GTCCCAGCTACTTGGGAGGCAGAGGCAGGAGACTCACTTGAGCCCAGGAGTTGGAGGTTGTTGTGAGCTGTGATGCCATGGCATGCTACCCAGGGGGGCAGTTCGAGGCTCTGTCTCGAAAGAAAATTAAAAAAAAAAAAAAAAGATTTTAGGTCCTGGATGTCTTTAAGTTCTATACTCTGCCACTAGCTATGGGACATCTGGCAAATACCTTCTGAACCTGTTTCCCCACTATAAATTGGGGACAATAGTATCTGCTTGTTGAGGGTATTAGCCTTGAAGGAAGCAATGAACCCTGGCACAATGCTGCACTGCAGGTACTCTCTGTGGTATTTGCTGTGCTTGTTTCCTGGGTTTCTCCATTCCAGTCCTGATAAGATAGAAACCTGAAATTTTAATATAACCAAAACTAGCCCAGCACAGGGGCTTACAGCTGTATGTAATCACAGCAACTTGGGAGGCTAAGGTGGGAGGATCATTTGAGGCTGAGAGTTTGAGATCAGCCTGGGCAACATAGCAAGACCCTATCTCTAAAAAATGACAGTGAGCCAAGTGTTTTGCACACTTGTCCAGCCAACTTCAGAAGCTGAGGCAGGAGGATCACTTGAGCGCAGGATTTCAAGGCTGCTGAAATATGAGGACAATATTACACTCTAGCCTGGGCAGAGTTATACACTGGAAATGAAATCCCTTGCCGTGGTTTTTGTCTGCTCTTGAAGACTGACCTAGTCCCCTCTCTCTAGAACATATTTTCATGTAACTAACTTTCATTCTTTTATATGATAAACTGCTTGTGTAAAAAACAAAATCCTTCGTAATAACTTAACAAATTGAGAAAGTGTATTTGGACTGAGTATGGTGGCTCACACCTATATTCCTAAGACTTTGGGAGACTGCGGTGGGAGGATTGCTTGAGGACAGGAATTCCAGACTAGCCTAAGCAAGACCCTACCTCTCGGGCGGCGCCTGTGGCTCAAAAGAGTAGGGTGCCAGCTCCATATGCTGGAGGTAGTGGGTTCAAACCCCAGCCCCAGCTAAAAAAAACTGCAAAAACAAAAAACGACCCTACCTCCCTACAAAAAAAAGTTGGAAAAATCCGACAATGTGGTAGAGGATTCCTATAGTCCCAGTTACTTGGGAGGCTGAGGCAAGACAATGGCCTAAGCCCTAGGAGTTGGAGGTTGCTGTGACAGAGAAAGACTTTGTCTCTTAAAATATATGTGTGTGTGTGTGTGTGTGTGTGTGTGTGTGAGATTAGGCTCAGCCTTTGTAGCTCGGTGATTAGGGCACTGGCCACATACACCAGGGCTGGTGGGTTCAAATCCAGCCAAGCCTGCTAAACAACGACAACTACAACAATAAAATATAGCCAGGCATTGTGGCAGGCACCTGTAGTCCCAGCTACTGGGAGGCTGAGGCAAGAGGATTGCTTGGCTCGGCGCCTGTGGCTCAAGTGGCTAAGGCGCCAGCCACATACACCTAAGATGGTGGGTTTGAATCCAGCCTGGACCCGCCAAAATGACAATGATGGCTGCAACCAAAAAGCCAGGCATTGTGGCGGGTGCCTGTGGTCCCAGCTACTTGGGAGGCTAAGGCAGAAGACTCGCTTGAGCCCAGGAGTTGGAGGTTGCTATGAGCTGTGATGGCACAGCACTCCAGCCAGCAGGGGGATAGCTTGAGGCTCTGTCTCAAAAAAAAAAAAAGGAAAATTGCTTAAGCCCGAGAATTTGAGGCTGCTGTGAGCTGTGACACCATTGCACTCTACTGAGGGTGACATAGTAAGACTGTCTCAAAAATATATATATGTGTAATTAAAACATATTTGAGTATTTTATCTGCAATGGTAAAAGTGCTTGCCTTTTTTTTTTTTTTTTTTGGTAGTTTTTGGCCAGGGCCGGGTTTGAACCTGCCACCTCCAGTCTACTCCTTTGAGCTACAGGCACTGCCCCTAAAAGTGCTTACTTCAAATTGGCAAAAAACTTTAAATTTTCTTGTTGGATGGGAAAAAAACAAAGAAAACTGAGCAGCGCTCGTGGCTCAAAGGAGTAGGGCCCAGCCCCATATGTTGGAGATGGTGGGTTCAAAGCCAGCCCCAGCCAAAAACTGAAAAAACAAAAAAATTTTCTTGTTGGAAAAATGGGATGTGAGTATTTGTATTTTTTGTGTGTCTTATTTATTTTATCAGTATTTGTATTACTTGTATTTTCTTTTTTTTTGAGACAGTCTCAATCTGTCACCCTCGGTAGAGTGCTGTGGCATCACAGCTCACAGCAACCTCAAATTCTTGGGCTTAAGCAATTCTCTTGCCTCAGCCTCCCAAGTAGCTGGGACTAGAACTGCCTGCAACAACTCCTGGCTATTTTTAAAGATGAGGGTCTCACTCTGGCTCAGGCTGGTCTCTAACCTGTGAACTCAGGCAATCCACCTGCCTCCGCCTCAAAATGCTGGGATTACAGGTATGAGCCACCTTGCCCAGCCTTCCTACTTCTTTGTCATATTCTTTTCCATTTCCTTGACAGCCTATTCCTTCTGGTTCCCTTTTCTTAACTGTTGGAATTCTCCAGGACTATGCTCCTGTGCCCTCTCCCTGGGTGAGGTGACTCACCCACTCACTGCTCTGCCCCTGGTCTTTATTACCATCCATGCATCTGTGCACCCAGATTGATGGTTCTAGACCAGACAGATCTCTGGATCTGCAGGCACAGAGCCAGCTTCCTCATAGACCTTTTGGGCTTCGTGACTTAAGACATCCAAAGTTCTGCATGGGCTTGGCGCCTGTAGCTAGTTCAGTGGCTAGGGCACCAGCCACCTACACTGGAGCTGGAGTTGTTTGGCACCAGCCCAGGCCTGCCAAACAACAATGACAACTACAACCAAAAAATAGCTGGGTGTTGTGGCAGGCACCTGTAGTCCCAGGTACTTGGGAGGCTGAGGCAATAGAATCACTTAAGCCTAGGAGTTGGAGGTTGCTGCGAGCTGTGATGCCACGGCACTCTGTAGCCCAGGGCTACAGCTTGAGACTGTCTCAAAAAACGCAAAGATCTGCATGGATGAGTTGAACTCATCCTCCTCCCTCTTACCACCCCATGCTGTGTGCTGGGTTCTCCTTCCCTGCAGATGGCACCATCATCATTCCAGTTGCTCAAGAATTCACCCAAACCTATTTAATTCCTTTGTTCACCTTGAATCAAATTGACCTGACTTCTTAAAAACCACATTTGTGAAAAAAAAAGAAACACATTTTGCACCCATAGCTCAATCGGTAGGGCACCACCCACATACACTGAGACTGGTGGGTTCAAACCTGGCCTTGGGTCTGCTGCTGAACTACAGTGACAACTGTAATTAAAAAAAATAGCTGGGCATTGTGGGCGCCTGTAGTCCCAGCTACTTGGGAGGCTGAAGCAAGAGAATCGCTTAAACCCAAAAGTTGGAGGTTGCTGTGTGCTGTGATGCCATAGCACTCTAATCAAGGCCATAGCTTGAGACTGTCTCAAAAAACCAAAAAATATTGGCTTGGCACCTATAGCTCAGTGGCTAGGGTGCCGGCCACATACACCAGAGCCAGTGGGTTTGAGCCCAGCCTGGGCCTGCCAAACAACAATGACAACTACAACCAAAAAATAGGCGGGCATTGTGGTGGGCGCCTACTAGTCTCAGCTACTTGGGAGGCTGAGGCAAGAGAATTGCTTAAGCCCAAGAGATTGAGGAAGTTGCTGTGAGCTGTGATGCCAGGGCAATCTTCCCTTTTTTTTTGGACTGAATCTTTGTCACCCTTGGTAGAGTGGTGTGGTGTCACAGCTCACAGCAACCTCAAGCTCTTGGGCTTAGGCGATTCTCTTGCCTCAGCCTCCCAAGTAGC